TTAATTTTATTGAACAAAATTATTTTTAATTTTAAGTGTGGTTTGTTTACATACTAGACAATAAGTTGTTGATAATACAAAAAGAAATACATGCAAATAAACAGTATAGGATGAAAACAGAAATTCGTGGAAATAATATAATATAATATAATATAATATAATATAATATAATATAATATAATATAATATAATATAATATAATATAATATAATATAATATAATATAATATAATATAATATAATATAATATAATATAATATAATATAATATAATATAACATAATATAATATAATATAATATAATATAATATAATATAATATAATATAATATAATATAATATAATATAATATAATATAATATAATATATTATTGTATATTATTTTGTATGCATATTATTATTAGTATTATTATTATTATTCCATATATACTATATTCTAATAGATAATACATAATAGATAAGTTTAAATTAATTGAACAATTTTTTTTCATGCGACACGACATATTTATGCAGAATTATCGTGTCGTGGCAAGTCGTGATACGATACGATTCTCAAATTGTTAATGTGTCTAGTCGCGCCACGATACTTTTGGAAATTCGTAAACGTGTCCAGTCCTGCCACGATACGATTTCAAATTTCTAAACGTATCGTGCTTCGCCACGATACAATTATGAATTTCTTAACTGTGTTGGGTCGTGCCACGATACGTTTGAAAAATTTTAAAAGTGTCGGGTCTCGCCACGATACTTTTAAAGCGCGTTCCACACTTAAACTTTTCGGGCGTCCGACACGACACACGTGCCCCCTATTCTCCATCTACCAAATGCATTCCCCTCCTGACGTAGGAGAAGTTAGTATTGAAGAGGGGGCACGTGTGTCGTGTCGGACGCCCGAAAAGTTTAAGTGTGGAACGCGCTTAATTGTTTTCAAACGTGTCGAGTCGCGACACTACACGGACACTTTCTTAAAATTCAACAACATTTCGTGTCCGAGACAGTCCCTGAATTTTTCTATTTTATATTATCTTTCTTGTCCTAAAAAATTGTCAAAAAATTTAAAGAAATTATAATTCTATTTTATAATTTAATGATCGCCTGAGCCGAATATTTCATTAAAGAAGAGTCAATGTTTAAAAGCTTAAACTTGTTTCGTCCTACTTTTTACCGGGGTATATGTTACAAATTGTCTCGGCACAAAGTTTTTGTACTCGAAAATACAGGTTCTATATATATATATATATATATATATATATATGTATATACGTTCCCGATGAACCGGAAGTGCAAACCTATGTCCCATCGTCAGCACTATTTATACAACTTGATGATCTCAAATTACAAACTTCCTTCGTCAGGCTTTTCCAATTATGCAACCCTTCAATGATTACTCTCCCGGTTCAAATATTCAATTTAAAAATCTCTTTTCAAATCATTCATGTGTTATTCACAAAATTAATGTTATTTTCATTAAACATACTTTTTTATTGTCCTTTTATGTTAATAAAAATAATAATATGGTAAATTTTTTAAATCAAGAGAATTCAATTAATTTTTAGTAAAATATTATTATTTGATTTAGTAATATTTTTTTTACTAATAGTTTTAGTAAAAAATATTATAAATATTTCCAAGAAGTTACTAAACAGAATTTTTTTCACCATCAATTTTTTTATTTAACAGCAATTTTCTTTTCAGAGAAATTTTTATTTTACTAAATTTTTGTAAATTATATATATATATAACTGCAATATACAATGAAACATTAAAAAACTACGTCTTCAGTTTACATAAAATTTCTAAATTGAAAATGTGCAAATTTTTACCGCACTATGAAATTGAAATAATCGATTAAAGATTTTCATCTAGTTATGCATTGAGAGATATATGTTTTTCTTTTATAAAATTTTGCCCGAGTTTTATATTAAAATAAAATGAAATTTGCCAACGTATGGAATTTGTTACTAAGCTGGTACAATTCCGAATCCACGTCATCGACTTCTGATTGCACCTCACCCGCATTGCTCTATTGCTCACTCGACGAGTTCGGGTAAAAAAAAGAAAAAAAATATAGAAAAACGAGAGAAAAAGGTTTCACTAAAGGCTTTCTCATGGTTTAATCGTTCTAGTGGAGGATCTCTTCGAGAGTCTGGTTTCAATTTGAACGACGTTATTGTCGCCTCTATTGCCATAGAAAATTGAAGTATTGAATCTTTTAGAATTCACTTTTGCACACCAACCATGATAAATATATCACACGTTTTTCACTGTACTCTCTTTTCTTTTCTTTTTTTTTAAATTTTCAAATCGACCGAAATAATGAATTTATTTCGAACATTATATTATTTATTCAGTATTTTCTAATACATTAGTTTGAATTTTTATAAAATTAAAATTTATAAGGCCGAAATTTTATAAACAGATTTTTTTATTCTTTGATTATTCATTTAATTAAATTAATATACACTACCGTCGGAAATTGTCGGTACGACTAACGTGCGAGGAGTGAAAATTCGGTGCTGAATTTAAAGCAAGATATTTTAAGTTAGAAAAAAGTTAGAGATTTCTAACTTAAATGGTTGGAAAGCTGATAAAATTCTGCTTCTGAATGTGTATCAAGAAAATTTTTTCCTTTTTTTTTGTATTTATAACACCGAAAAGATTTCAATACAAAATTATGCAATTTTCGTACTGTCATACTAATGTTTTTGACTTCCGGCATAATCTAGAATAAGGTATGGAAAAATTTGACATGCTCGAACATTTTTTAACATATTTCAAGAAGTACAAATTATGTAACAAAATATTTGTTATTTAATAAAAATAGTGTTAAATTAACTGCAAAATGTTCTTCCAACAGATTTTTTACACAGATGAATTTTTAAATATTGGAATGTCTAATTCAACACGCAAAAAAATATAAAGTAACTTTTACTATTTACAAAGTAAAACCTAAACTGTTCGAAACTTCTGTGCATCTGTGGCAACTTTTGCTCAGGAAATAGAAAAAATTATTTCTGAAATAGTAAACTTTACTCCGGAAATAGAATTTTTACTATTTTTTTTCGTTAACGAATTCAGTTAAATAAAAATTTTGTTACACATAAAAATGCTTAGAAATAAAAATTTGTTATCTAAAAAATAAATATTCTACGGTCAGTCCACTGACTTTCGTCTAATAGTGGTTGCGACCAAATTTAAAAAAAATCTAGTTTTAATATATGTGAAACTCGATGATTCCCTGAGTTCATTAAGCATAATATTATGGTAAAAATTTTATTCCCTTTAAAAATATTAAATATCAAAAGTAGGAGGTTCACAATGTGATTTTGTAACCTTAAATTGATCAAAAAAATAATTACATGATAAAATTGTTTAAAATGAAAACTGTAACTAATGATATTAATGGAATAATCATGGGTCTTCAATTTCAGTAAAAAAATTACATTTTTAAAATTAATTTATATATATACAATTTAAATATGCTGTACCTATTATAACGTGGCATTTTGTCGCCTACAAATAACTTGAAAATAAAAAAATTTAAATAAATTTTGTAAATAAACAACACCAGGGTGGGAATTCAGCTATAATGGCTGCAAAATATTATAAAGTATAAAAATTGTTTTCTTATGATACTCAATAATAAATAAATTCGATTCTGATTTGTCCTTTCGTTCTGTTATGAAAACTCTCGCGAGGCATTGAGGATTCTCCCCGGGTCATAAAAACGTTAAGAACATCACTATCTATCATTGAAATTAAAACTCATCAAGGGAAGAGCTTCCTGGTGTATATATTTGGATGAGAGTCGCGAATATTTAAGGACACCAGAAAGACGAAATTGCTGTTTTGTTGACGATCTATCAAATAAATACTGGCGGTCAATTTCCTATGGACTTCTCGCATCAATCAATTCAACATCGGATAGGGTAGCGATTTGCGTTACCGACGACTGCGTATCAATTATCGGTCGGGGGAATTATATTATTGAATATTAATTGATCTTAATGTCATCGAGAAAAGAGGCTGCTGTTTAGCGACGCTTTTGAGTTTGACTTGTCTGACATTTTAATCTCATTCTCATCCTGGTGTTCGTAGAGTCAAGTTGTGTTCTATTCTTTTTTGTGTAAAATAATTAAAATTTAACATTATAAAAATGAGACGAGGCGTCATCGTTGTCGTCAAATGGACGGTGAGTCCCAATAAATTAATTAGAGGTCGTTTCCTTCAGAATAGATCTTATTATTATTATTAAAGTATAACTGAATAAATAAAATATAAATCTTGTCTTTCGGCCTTCTGCCATTATTTAACTTCTTCTAAAATTTGAAGTGAATGTTAATAAATAGTGTTATTGTTATAAATTTGGTCTAATTAATGGTGTTTATCCTTATCCCCACCTCTCCGCGGTCTATTCTTGCTGTAAAGTAACAATGGAATTCCTGAGCTGGTTTTAGTTTTTCCTAATTAGAATTATAAAATTTACTTATCGGGTTATTTAACTATTTTTTTAGATTTAGTTATTTTCCATAAAATAACTTGGCATCTTGGCAAAAATAATAATTAAAAAGTGTAAATAACGTTGATTGTCTTGAAAATATAGTAATAAATAAGTTGAAATACAAATTAATAATAAATTTAATTCAACGTTATACTATATATGGATTAGATTTATTTTCTTCATTGTACACTTTTTAAGTTTTACAATATTAATTTTCCCCAAAAATTTTCCCTTATTTATAAGAATTTAATTGTTTATAATATAAAGTCCAAATAATATTCTGTATATAAATAACATGCAAGGAAACTGAATTCCACAAAAAGAAAAACTAATTTTTCAAGAAATAAAAAAAAATTTTGAAGTAAAATCAATATTACCATTCCTGATAATAGTCTATAAAATAAGAAATATGATTCTATATGTCTGCCAAATAGATAAAAGACAAACGAGTAAAGTTGAATTAGAATTTAAAAATTCAAGTGAAATTTTACGAATTTTCCAGAGGTATGGGGCACGAGGACGTATTGCTGTCAGAATGATGGATGTAACTCTGGACCATCTTTGGTGTCGTTTTCATTCTCTTTCTGGATATTACCAGTGGCCCTCATTCTTTTAGGCAGCAGTCTTCGTGGTTAATTTAAATGAATATCTATTTCCTATATATAATATATATATATAAATAAATATATAATATAAGGAACATGCATGCGACGATCATCGACATCATCGTTTGCATAAATAAATATTCTCTTTTGCAACATAAATAAGACACAAACAAAAGGTCTGCCTTTTTCTATATGGTGATCACCATAAATTCCTAATAAGCGCAGAGAATCGTTCACAAAAAAATAAATAAATAAAATCCAATGACTTTTCGACTGTACGCGCAATTTCTTTAATCTCTCTTACACTGAAAAAATTTATTTGATTTAAATAGTCAATTAATTCACTATTATCATGTAAATAAATATTTACTTGAACCAAATAATTTTTATTTGTATTTAATAATAAATGTATTTGAACCAATAAAATAAATATATTTATTTGATAAATAGTCAAGTAACCGATTATTTCAGTCAAATAAATTTTTTTTTCAGTGTACATATATTAGGTATAATATTTCTATATCCTCTTTTTGCATATGAGAGAAAAACAGTGTGCTTTAAATACAATTATTATTATATATATATATAGTTGTTATATATATACCTATAATGAACCGTTTAATAAATTTGTCGAAATTTAATCTTTCAATTAGCATTGTTTGAGGTTTTCGTCAATATTTCGCGCTCAAGACACACTGTTTATTATTTTTTTTCTATAGAAATGCAAAAAAAAAAGAGGAAAACAGAAAAAATATCGCTGTCGGTGCTTTTTTATAATAGGTAGCGCTAATTTTTAGTGCTAAATTTAGAATAGTTTTACGAAACAGATGTGAAGCGAAATTTAAAGAGGTTTAAAAAAATATTTATTTTTTAAATTTTGATATTATCTCAATTTTATCAGAATTAATTTGAAATTCGATTATGTTTTAATTTGAAAATCTTTTTGTAGTTGAATGAAGTAAAAATTCTTATAAAGAAGTTAAAAATTCTTCAATATTTTTTCTTTATGAATCAACATAAATTTTACATTAATTTATGTATTTTTTATATTCTGACGTACATTTAAATTGTGATTCTATAAAAAGTAAAACCATAATTAATAATTGTATAGAGAATGAAACGATTTTAAATGTTTTAATTCAAATGACCTAATTTTTAATTGGCACAAATATATTTATTTTTTATTTTATTACATATTTAATTTTTTATTTTCTGGCGTACATTTTAATTTTGATTCTCTAAAAATACAATTAACAACAGTTGTATAAAAAATGAAATAGTTTTAAAAGTTTAAATTCAAAACAACCTCTTTAAATTTTGCACGCAGTATACATTTTTCATATCTAAATAATGATTGCAAGAAAATTATTATCAACAGTGTGTCTGGAATAAAAATCGTATCAACATCGAATCTTATAGTGATATCCGAACGACTTCTTTGTTCATTTATAAGAATAATGTAAGAAATTAAAAAAACAACTTCTTTCATTAACTATAGAGTACAACTAACTGTGAATTTAACCCCGGGTATTGTTCCATAAATTTATCAGCTCTTGAAAAATGATCTATCTATTTTTAATTATATGCTGCTTTATTTTGTTATTGCTTTTTTTATTTTTATGCTTTTTGTTTTTCCACACCTTTTTTTTTTATTTCGTATAGACAGCTTTTTGATTCCACAGCCGGAGCTCACGAACTGATTCAATTTATTCGACAAAGTTTTCGCGGATGGCGTCCAGCATTCGACGTGTAAGATATAGGATGCTGGGCACATCTGGTTTCGATATCGGCACTTGCTTTATTTTTTTTAATTTTTTTTTTCTTTTCTATCATTCTCTCATACATCTTTTATAGAAATTAATATTTATTTTCATAAATGCAAAGTGCATGGAAGACTTTTTACGAGTGTTCTACTACTAAAATGTATAATGAATCGTTATTATTTTATGGAAATTTTGTAACTTTACAAAATATAGTTTATCTTTTATTATTATTATTATTATTATTATTTTATTTTTTTATACTAATTATTATATTATTTTTATTATTCTTAATATTTTTCAATTTGAAATAATAGATCAAATTGTGGCCAATTTTGGTATATTTTACATACAATTTTTTTGGATTTTTAATTCAAGAATAATTGAAAATCGTAAATATTAACAAATTGTAACTAAGTATTTTATTGTACAAATTTTCAAAACCAAGTGGATTTTTGAATATACAAAGTATATTTTCTTATTTCGTGGTATTTTAAATTTTTTATTATTCTGTAAATTTCCATTTGACACAGTTTTTGTATTTATTTATTTTTTTTGCTATTTCTATTGTGGTTCCTGCATAAAAAGTCTTCCATCATTGAGTATTTTGTTTACATTCCTTGATAAGTCTGGCGCTGAATATATTGCATATAAAATTGTTTTATTTGTGGCAAAATTTGCCTGGCACTTATAAATATATAGGTACACAGAGAGGAAATATAAAAAGAATCGCGGCCGCGATAGAAAGAGGGACGGGGGGGGGGGGGGGTGTAAAAAAAAACCTCGTAATTTATTCTAAACTGTCGCGATTTTAGAAATATAAGAAAATACGGTCGGAGGCGAAAAGCACACACGCGAAACGAAGAAAGTATACGTACGAAAACGAGCACATGAACTCCGATATACTTTTCATCGCCTGCTTCCGGCACACTCGACTGGTTGGAAACAGGACGAAAAATTTCACGAAGATCTGCTTTCCTCCAAAAGATTAACTTTCTTCTTGGGTTTGACTTTTCCATTTTTCCCAAAAGAATTCCATTTGGGAAATAATAAAAGAAAATTGATTCCTTAATTGAATTTAAAAGCTGTTTCGCATTTTGATCCACTTTATTTTTTTTATAAATGCGAACAATTATTGAAAAAAAAAAAATGTTTTTATTATTTGAAAGAATTTTTGTGAGATTGTAATCTATTTTCAATCAATCGTGTTTCGGGGGGAAAATTGGCGTTTTTTTGGACCACAAAAAAAAGTTGACGTTCTTATAAAAATTGTCAAAAGTCTAAAGACAAGTCGCAACTATCGTCTTAATGACTTTTATGCTTGGCCAATGTCAATCGCAATATTACACCGACCGTGTGAAATATTTTTAAGAGTGAAGATATCTACGTTTAGATAAAATTGAGGTCACTATTATATTAAATAATTATTATTATTATTATTTAACTGTAACTAAAGTAAATAATAATTGTCAAAATATAATACATAATTTATAGACATAATTATCGAACGTCATAATAATAGTCTTTTAAAAATGTAGTAAGATCGAGAAATGCGAATTATTAAAAAAAAAATGCTTGTTTTAGCGCAAAATTCATCAGTTATCAGACTTTTACAGTTTCAAATAAAATTATATCAGCTCCTTTACAATTTTCAGATTTCCATAATTATGTATGTTGATTTTATCAATTGTCAATTTTTGATAAAACTGCAAGAAAAATTATATTTTCCAAAAAATATTTAATTGAAATTTTTTTTTCTATTATAATTATAATTTATTTTATTTAATTAACAAATGTTAATTAATTTTAATTGTGATCTGAGAAATGGAAAGGAGATCCTAGTAGAATAGTTATCGAATTTAAAGGCAAAATGTGGAGTAGCATTTCCGAGATGGTCGACCTCGAGATATTGAAAAAAAAAACCATAATTATCGACCACAAAATAGGACATCAGTTCCTTGAGAAAAGTGAATTTTTCATAAAGTGATTGGTCCATTTTTTCTTACCTCCGTGATAGTCATATTCTCAAGAGTCGACTTTCTCGAGGTTTTTCTGTTTTTCAATTTCCAATCTCACATCAGAGATTACAATTTTATATATAAAATAATAATATATATAAATATATATATTTAAAAAAATCCCTTTTATCATACGCTATAAGAACTCGAATCCACTTGTTTGTATTCCTTCAACGTATTTAATGATATCCTTTATAAAATTAAATTATAACTGATAAAAAAATAAGCAAAAGCTCTAAATATATTTAAATAAATTCAAGAAAAAAAACTTATTTAAATTTATTGTGAGGAAGGAATTCATTTTACAGGAAAATAAAAATAGTGTGTAATATTATTGAAAAATAAACAAAACAGTTAAATAAATATATATTCAAGTTTGTTATATAAAATTTTGAAAATAAAAATTTCTAACACACATTAATTAAATTGGCGATTAAGGAAGTGATAAATGAGAGCCAATTTTATTTTCAGAAATTAGATGCTACATTCTGCCAATTCTGGAGGATGTAAATAAATCTTTAATCTGCGTTGATTTAAATCCATTGAAAACGTCTTTTATCTGAATATACCGATTTAAACGTGGATTTAATTAACGTTGTTAGCGCTTGAGCGTTTCGTAATACGAGAATCATTGAAATCATGTTTAAAAAAAAAATCTAAATAAAATACTAGAACGATAAAAACAAAAATAATTAAAAATGATTAAAAAAAATTTTTGAGAATAAAGATTTTAAAAAAGAGTTAATAAAAAAACTGTTTTTTTTATATGTGAAAGCAAAGAATGAAAAAAAAATTATAAAAGCAAGAAAATAAAAATTTTAATATTAAGATAAAATTTATCAAAACGTCTTATTATAAGTAGAACTGCCTCATGTGAGAAAATGTCACTTGAGTATCTCGAAACGCTCCACATCGATGGCAACGATTTTTGTAAAATAATAATTAATAAAAAAAAAAAGGTAAAATAAAATCGATATACTTGTATATTATACTGACGAGTTATCAGCGTATCTACGCGACGTATATTATTATATATTAACGTACATATTATATAAATATTATTATATAATAACGTATATATATATGAGGCAAAATTCCTGAAATGTCCGAACAAAAAATTAAAAGTTCTCGAATTTAATCCATACTTTTCTAAAATGTTGTTATTGTTGGTAAAAGTCTAAAAATCAATTATTATTGAATTTAATAAAATAGTTTTTAAATTACAACGTTTTTAATTTTTGACTTTTGAAAAAAAAAATTTTTTTCAATGTACAATATTTATAAGTAGAATGCATAAAAGTTAACATATATATAATGATTTTTAAAGCTTTTTTGACGAGCTACACGCTGTTAATAAAAATTTTTTTTTTAAATAACATTTGACCTTGAAATTCAAGGTCAAAATGTTAATTTACATTTATCTCAAAATCGGATTTTTTAAAATTATTTTTAACTATCTCAATGGAAAGCTTGACTAATTTCCTACAAAACATGTAATTTTCAGAGTGGGATCTTTTAAAGTTTTTGAGATATTAATTAATTAATTAATTAATGTTTATAACAAATGAAATATTTTACAAACGAATAAAGTTACCGTAATTCTGAAGTTAGTAATTGAAAGTTAACGTAATTCCGCATCCAACGAGCCCTATATGAAGTATTTTGGATAAGTAGATTGTTAATAAACAATTAGTTAACATTGCAATTGTTTATTAACAATCTACTTATCCAAAATACTTCATATAGGGCTCGTTGGATGCGGAATTAGCTTAACTTTCAATTGGTAAGTTCAGAATTACCACAACTTTATTTGTTTGTAAAATATTTTATTTTTTACTAACAAGAAGCATCCAAAAGCCCTATATGAAGTATTTTTGTTCAATTTTAGTTAAATAACAATAAAAAATGAAATATCTTACAAACAAATAAAGTTATCGTAAATCTAAACTTACCAGTTGAAAGTTAAGCTAATTCCGCATCCAACGAGCCCTATATGAAGTATTTTGGATAAGTAGATTGTTAATAAACAATTGCAATGTTAACTAATTGTTTATTAACAATCTACTTATCCAAAATACTTCGTATAGGGCTCGTTGGATGCGGAATTACGTTAACTTTCAATTACTAACTTCAGAATTACGGTAACTTTATTCGTTTGTAAAATATTTCATTTGTTATGAACATTAATTAATTAATTAATTAATATCTCAAAAACTTTAAAAGATCCCACTCTGAAAATTACATGTTTTGTAGGAAATTAGTCAAGCTTTCCATTGAGATAGTTAAAAATAATTTTAAAAAATCCGATTTTGAGATAAATGTAAATTAACATTTTGACCTTGAATTTCAAGGTCAAATGTTATTTAAAAAAAAAAATTTTATTAACAGCGTGTAGCTCGTCAAAAAAGCTTTAAAAATCATTATATATATGTTAACTTTTATGCATTCTACTTATAAATATTGTACATTGAAAAAAATTATTTTTTTTAAAAGTCAAAAATTAAAAACGTTGTAATTTAAAAATTATTTTATTAAATTCAATAGTAATTGATTTTTAGACTTTCACCAACAATAACAACATTTTAGAAAAGTATGGATTAAATTCGAGAACTTTTAATTTTTTGTTCGGACATTTCAGGAATTTTGCCTCATATATTTAAATGATATATAGTGATTTTAGGTTGTAAACCTTAATATATAT